GCCGTGTGGGACCAGCAGCTTAACCCTCCTTCTCGGCTTCCTCCTTCTCATCTTCATCGTCCTTCTCTCCCTTGAGCTTCTGGCGAGCAAATTCCTCGATGACAATGTCCTCCTCACTGGAAGGCAGAGCAGAGCACGGTGAGAACACAGAATGCACCAGAGTGAGGAGGGGAAATCTCTGCTAGGCCCCAGACCCTGCTCCTACTGGGGACAACACGATGGTCACCCTGGCCTCATCACCCCACAAGGAACACTCAGGTCACTGTGAGCCTGAGCCCAGCACACAAACCCAGGCCCCATCACTGGCTCCACTGTGAGCCTGTGTGGCCCGAGGAGCTGGGCCTGCAACTTCTGGTGTTTTTCAAGGCAACATTTTGCATTGTCAAGGGAAAAAAAAGGGAAGGAAAATAAATGAAAGTGGCGACAAAGAGCTGAGCTACTTCTTTGAGAAAGGCAAATGGCTGGTGACAGCGAGGGAGAGCCACAAAGTGAAAAGTGGGGGAGGAAAACAGAAAAAAAGAGTCAGCAAAAGTGATTCCAAAAGCTTGGGAATGTGAAATGACTTGGCAAATCCTACAGGAAGCCATGATGGGGATAGGCCAAGAGATTTGCTCCACTGGAAGTTTAAATGTCCTTGCTGAGCTGGGAAAGGGACAGTGTGAAAGAGGTTGGTGTGACAGCCTGCAGTTGGAGCCTGGGTTTCCAGGCCCCAAATCCCAGTGCTCATGTCCCATTGCAGGGTGGAACCAGACACAAAACCTTTGGGGTTTTACAAGCCAGGGCTGTGGCTGCCAGGAATGGGTTTGACATGCTGTGGCTTCCCAGAGGGAAGCAGCCCCAGCTGTGGCTTCAGCTGGAGTAAGATGATGTGGTGGGAGGACAAGAGGTCTCTGGTGCTGGGGAGCATTTAGGGGCACAGGGATGTGACTTCCAGCAGTTGAGGGACCTCAGTGTGGGGATCAAGGCCATGGGGACACTGTGTCCAGCGGTGGCACTTGTGGCTGGAAGAGCATTGCCAGCTGCTTCTGACAGGGGCAGATCTGTGTGGTTGATGTGTTAGAGGGAACATCTCTTTACCTTATCTTAGCTGTAGTCCAGTGATAAGCACAGCATGGGGAGAAAGGGATGGGGAGAGAGAGAGACGTGCAGGTTAGTACAGAAAAGACAGACCAGCTAACAGCTCCCCTTAATGCCTGGGTGTTTTTGTGGAAAGAGGGACGCTGGGAAGGGTGCTTTGGGGAGGACTGCTCCCACACCACTCCGTGAAAGAGGGTGGGTGCAGCCCAGCCGGACAGCTGTGCCCATCCCACGGGAGAACTGCTCCCACCCTGCTCCAGGACACAGGGTGGGTGCAGCCCAGCTGTGCCCCCCCCAGCCGGGGCAGAGCAGGGCCCTTTGCACAGGCTGTATCAGGGTTGCTTTCACTGGTTCCACTCTGAACCAGAGCTGCTCCTTCCTCCCCATGTTTTGGCAGCATCCCACACTCTACTTACACTCATCAGGCTTGGGGTGCATGAGGATGACGGGCATCTCGACACCAACATCGCTGGAAGGAAAAGCACCTCTGTCAATGATCCCCCCCAGAACCACACCGTGCCCGGCCCCACAGGCAGCTCCCCTTACCTGGAAGTGAGATCCCCCAGGATCCTGTGGCAGCAGGAGAGAAGGCACAGAAATCAGCCAAGGCAGAGGAGGGGAGGTGTTTTAGACTTTGTTTTATAATAGGGCAGAAGGTGATTGACAGTAGGGGTGATGGGGCCAGAGGGGTGGGAGTCAGAGAGCAGCCCACTGCCCCACAGACCAGGGGAGCAGGGCAGGGGCAAGGGAGCCCATGGTCTGAGTCCCCTCTCCATCTCCCTGGAGGCGCAAGATCCCCCAGCACAGCCCAAGGGGGCAGTCCCTGATCCCTGTGCCCACAGAGCCTTACCCTCCTCGGGACACCATCAGGTTGACCTTCACTTTGTAGGACACCAGGATGCCCAGCACCTCCTTGTCCATGCCGGGTCTCAGGCTAGGAGGAAGGCAGAGAGGAGCAGTGAGGGGGCAGTGCTGCCCACAGGTCCCATCCACACCCCCCACAGCAGCTCTCAGGGCTGTATCCATGCCCCCTCTATGTGTGGGATTTAGCAGGAGAGGACAACAGGAAAAAAAAGGGGAGGGCAGAGCACTTGGCTGAAGCCACAGTGCAGTTTCTGGAAGCTTCTTGAACTGCCTGAGCTGGGATTTACTTCCAAGACAAGATCCAGCTCTGCAGAGAGATCCAGCAGCTTTGGACAGTGTTGGGACTGGGAGGCTGCATCTCTCCTACAGGATGGAGAGGTGGGTCTGTGTCACAAAATCCCTAAGTTTTCCAGCTGGGCGGGGTGGGCTCAGGCACAGAAGGTGTGGGGGAGCCCAGAGCACCCTGAGCAGTGGGAAGCTGTAGGAGTGGGGAGCAGGGGGATCCCACCCAGCTCTCACATGGTGGTGGAGGCCAAGTTGGTGTCCTCGTGCTTGAGCTTCCCATCGAGAGCGAGGCCTCGCTTCTGGCGGTTGGCCGAGAGCAGGGGGGTCACGGAGTACGTTTTGGAGAAGGTGGAGTTGGCTGCCACAGTCTCACTGGAAGGAGTGGGAGAGGAGGGCTCAGAGCCAGCACCAGCCTGGTGGGTGCTCAGCATCACCCCAGTCACCTGTGCAGAGCCAGCCCCCCTGCCCTCCCCACACAGCTGCCAGGGCCTGTTTCCTCCTTTCATTCCCCCTCACAACCACTTCTTTTTTTCTCCCCCCAGCCTTTGCTCCATCCCTCCTCTTTCTCAGGGGTGAAGAGGCTGTGGCTGCCCTCAGAGATGCAAACTGAGGAGAGGAAGAAGCCAGGGGGCAGCTGTGCACCTTCCCCAGGGACCTTCCTGGCCACCACCACCTTGTGCTGGGGCCACAGGGGCCACGGCCTTCCCTCTCCTCTGCTTCCTCTGCACCTGCTCTTCTAACCCTGATATTTTTCTGCTTGGTGTAAAACTGTCTCCCACACCCCTTCTCCCCATCCCTCTCCCATCCTCCTCCTTCTTTCTCTTCCTCCCTCTGGCTGAGGTGCCACATCACCTCCAGCCCCTTTTTCCTTACTTTATCTCCTCGGTGCACACAGTCTTTGTGTATTTATCCAGGGAATAGAGGACCACATCTGTGATCTGATCCACTGAGGGGACACAAGAGAGAGCCATGTTGGTGGCGTGGCAGAGGCACAGACACACCGTTCCCCTCTCTCACAGGGAGACTGGGATGTGGTGGGTGCCAGGATGTTCCCCCTGTGCCCCCTCTCACCTGAGATCTTAATTTTCTTCACCATCTTGTTGGTGGTGTTGTTGATGTTGACGGTCACATTGATGGGCTCTCCATGGTAGTAGATCTGCGGAGGGAAGAGGTTTGGTTACATGGTTACCCTGCTCCCCATTCCCGGGGTGGCACGAAGCAGGGGACAGCTCCCTACCGACCTCCTTATCCAGGGAAGCCTCGAGGTGCAGAGGCTTGTCTGACATCATGAACTGCCGGGTGGTCTCCGCCTTCGGGGACGGCCCCGTCTGTGTGGGGGCGAACTGCACCTTGCGGATGATGAGGCGCGCGGAGTTCCTGCGGGATGGCAGGGCTCACCCCCAGTGTCCCACCGGGGGCACGTCCACACCACCTTCCAGGGGTCACAGTGACAGTCACAGTGTCTCCAGCCAAAGGGGGCACATTGCCACCTGCTCTTAGGCCATTGCCCCTATTTCGGGCAGAATACCCCACCCAAACATGGCACAAGCTGACAGCAGGCCCTTGGCTTGGCCTCGACGCTGGTCACCCCGAAAAGAACCCGTGGTTCAGTTTTAGGGCCGTGGGGCAGAAAAGGCATCCCTTGAAAATACCTTTTGTGAATTTTCTCCTCCAGATTTTCAGCACAAAATCCCTTCACCTCGAAGTCCACACCGCAGGCCTGGGGGAACACGTGTGGTCACTGAGCAGGAGGGGCTTGGAGCTACCTGAGGTTTAGGTTCCTTCCCCTGGAGATCCTGGTGCTGACTCCAGCCATCCTTCCTCCCCACCCCTCACCCCATGGGCCATGTCCCCATGAAAGAGAAACAGCTCTCATTTTTAGCACCTCACAATTTAACTCCCTGCCAGGGAGGAGAGGTCCGGGGGACACGGGTTGGGGACAGCAGCTCACCTTTCCCTCATCATCTGGCCCAGGCTGGAGGCTGATGGAGCAGGGCAGGTTGGTGGCAATCTGGGCAGAACAGGGAAAGAGAGAAGAAAGGAAATAAAGAGCATGCCCAGAGATAAATCCCAGTGCACTCCATGGGGGAGCATGGCCAGGAAGAGCTGAGCAGCCCCTACCTCGAAGGTGAAGGGGTAGGCATTCTCCCCGAGCTTCTTCAGCAGCTTGTCCTGCATGGGTGTGAGGGTTTTGGGGGCCTGGTCCGGCACGGGTGGGAAGATCTGGACGGTCTGGACCCAGATGTCCTTCCTGAAGGTCAACCCAATCACGTCCAGGTCATCGCGGCCGTAGCGGAAGGCGCAGGTCAGGGTCACGTACACTGAGAGGGGCAGGGAAGGGTGGGATGGAGGGGAGGCATGGCGGGGAAGGGGTAGGTAGGAAAGAAAGAAAACCTATGTTAATAACCCTTCAGCAGAAACCTGACTGTTAGCAGGAGCTGGGCCTCGGGCACTAAATATAAAACCAACAGGGTTCCTCCTGTCTCTGTGCTGCTGGGGCCCTGCTGTCCAACGAGCTGTAAACACACTGCAGCTCTAACCTGAGCACAGCCCCAGGTCACTGGTGAGCTTTGAACAGGTTTCCACCCCTCCCCTCTTTCCCTGTGGTTTCTGTATCAATACCTTTCCTGTCCTTCAGGTACTCTGGGTCGATCAGGCAGACACCATCTGCAAACAAGCAGAGAAGGAACAGTGAGCTCACCCACACGGGAAGATTCTTCCTAAAACACAGCTTTTTAAACTCAAATAATCCACTTTTCAGCTGAAAGGTGACCAAGGGGAGCTGCTGGTCAGGGGATGGTGATGCCTCCTCCAGCATCTCTCCCAGCAGCACGGCTGGGTTGTTTCACAAAGGGACTTTGTCCCTTTCCCCACCATTTTTCTTAAAGGTATTTGCAGGAAAACAGGATGTTTGCTCCTTCTGCTCCAGTGGAAAGCAGAGGTAAGCAGACATCTGCACGGATGCCAGTGTTCCTGGCCTCTCCCTGCCTGTGCTTCCACCTGTGTGCTGGGCACAGACCTACTCACCTACAGATTCCACTGAGTCCACGTTATCCACAAAGTCTCTCTTCCCCAGGTAGATGGAAAGCTGGAGGGAAAGGAGGAAGCAGGTTAGTATTTGCCATGGTCCCAAATTTTGTAGCCCTGGGTTGTGTTGTGGGGCTCAATACCGTGTTGGACCAGACATTGCAGTTAAGGGGTCACATCAGGGCATTTTTTAATTTCTATTTTGAAAAATGCATCCTGCAGTGGCATCATGGCAGGTCCAGTAGGAATCAGTCTGATCTCAAAGGGAAGGGAGACCCAGCCTGGTTCCTAGGGGCAGATTCTCCCTGGAGAATCCCAGGACAGGCTGTCCCTGGGCTGACCACGCCTGGGGACAGGCCATGGACTCACCTTGGTGTTGGGGCTGGTCTTCTTGAACACCCTGTGGAGAAAACAGAGACACATATTTGGGAATGCCCTGGACAAGGCTGGGTGGAGCACAGCCCACTCCCAGGGCAGGGAGATGGGGGTTTCCCTGCAAATGTGCTGCACCACCAAGAGCTACCCCAGAGCCTGCTTGGGGTGTCCTGTCCCCCAGGAATTTGGTGTCCTGTGAATTCAGAGCCAAACCCCCACCCAGGGGATGTTGTGCTCCTGAGCTCAGGGTGACCATGGAGGAGGGGGTCGATTTGCTGTGTCTTAAGGGTAAGTGAGAAGACCCAACAGGAATTAAAAAGAGAAGGGGCTTTCCTGGCTCCATGACAGCCCCTGCTGTGATTTCACATTCCAGCCCATGGGAGCAGCGGGTGGGGAGAGTGGGGGGGACTCTTTCTCCCTCTGCTGCTGCCCTGCAGGGCCCTGCTCCATCCCAATTATAAATAAATAAATAAATAAAGACACTTACTTTGCTCCTTGTGCCATTTTCAGTCAGCGGTTGCACAGGTGGGATCTGTGGGGAGAGATGAGGAGAGGTCTGGGTGAGGAGATGGGGAAGGGGCAGCCCCCAGCCATTGCCTCCAGCAGGACACATCCCCCACACCCCAACAAACTGCAGAGCCCTCAGGACATGGCACTGCTGGGCCTGTCCCCTTTGCAGAGCTCAGGAGCTCCAGGTTCAGTGGGGGCTGCCCAGCTTTGGGGTGGCACAAGGGAGCAGCAGGGTCAAGCCAGCCCCTTGTCCCTGGCCAAAAAGGTGGTGGAGAGAAGGTGAGAGAGAAAAAGGGAGAGTGGTGTCCCAGAAATCAAAGTGAAAGAGTAGGTTTATATTAGATTTAGGAAAATATTCTTTACTGGGAGAGTGGTGAGGCACTGGAACAAATTGCTGAGAGAAGTTGTGGCTGCCCCAGCCCTGGAAGCGTCAAAGGCCAGGTTGGACGGGGTTTGGAGGAACCTGGGATAGTGGAAGGTGCTCCTGCCCATGGCAGGGGGTGGAATGAGAAGGTCTTTAAGGTCCCTTTCAACCCAAAGCATTCTGTGATTCCTCTAAAATAGGAAGCACAGGGGTTACTCCCAGTGGAGCAGGTTCAAGGCTGGGAAAGGCAAGCAAATGAACAAAAGGCCTTACAGAGTTTCAACTCTATGAATTTTTCCTGTCTGCAGGAAATTGGCTACCATGGCTTAACAGCAGGAACAGGCTCGTTTTGTCCTGTCACTCACGGGAAAAGGAGGAAACCACAGGGAGAGAGGTCAAGGGAAGCTTAATTGCCCTGTGGAAAGAGGGGTCTCGAGGCACAAGGTCCCTCCATCCCCATCCCTTCATGCTGGGAGTGTGGCAGGGGCTGCCCAGCCCTGCCCAGCTGCTCCCTGTGTCCTGCTCTCTCCTGCCTGGTGTCCAGGATGAATCCGTAAATATCACATGGATCACCAGCCAATTCACCAGGATAATGGGTGGGATGAGCTCAGCTTCTTAAAGTTAGGCAGCTCTGACATGAGCAGAGCTTAATCCCTGGCAGGATGTTAAGTCCCAGGGGCACGTGGACAGAGTTGCCTCTGTAAATAAGCACAGGGATGCTGGTGAGAGAGAAGGCATTGATACGGTGGGAGGAGATGATCTTCCTTGCCATGGGAAGACAAGGGAGTAGTCCCAAGCTCAGGATCTTTGATGCCCCTGGGTGCTGTGGGATGTGAAGCTCAGGAATCCTCACCTGCAGGGTTTCTTGGGTAGCAGCAGGAGAAGGTGGGAAGGGAGTGGGAGCAGAGATCTCAAACCTCTCCAGACCCCGGGAATTGGGGATGAGACAATGAAAGGTGGAGGAGAGGAGAGCTGAACTCCTCCTCTGCACCTCCCAGGCCCCAGAGAAGGGATTCAAACCCCTCCTAGTTTTGGCTAAGCTCTTGCACGCCACTACCCCACCCCTCCACTCGTGCCCTCTGGCTTGGCCATGCTGAAATCCTTTTCATTTTTCCCAATTCAGCCCCAAACCACCCTCCTTCCAGCCACAGTCCAGCCCCAAGTGTTTTCCAAAACTCTGAACCCTGAAGCACTGGCAGGGCCCGGGCAGCAGAGCAGGCAGCACTCACCTGGCAGGTGGATGGACAGACAGACACTCTCTTCTTCCTCTGCTGGCACGTCCCAGTGCCACCCAGTCACTACGGGCTGCTCGCAGTCCTGCAGCTTCTTATATCCCCCCTGGCTGTCCCTCCCCTGGCATCTGATCTCGCCCACTCAGCCTTGGCTGGGGATGCAGGGGGTGTGTGTCTGTGTGTGAGTGTGGGAGAGGTACTTTCGGGAAGAATCCTATTAGTTGATTAACTGGGGAGACGCTTCGCGAGTAAGAGTGGGCTAAAAATACCCTGCTGCTGGAGCCCTGGGAAAGCAGCTTATGGGGATTGGCAAAGGGCTTAGGAGCAAGGTGATGGTAATTGAGGTGGAAGCTCTGCTCCTGGTGAGAAGGGGTGCAGGTTCCCACAGGGGCTCTCTACAGCTGCTCCCATGGCAAGTGGAGCTGGGCCAGCCCTGGGCACGAGGGTGGATGGAGATGGCAGAGGGGAGCGAGGGACCTTCCCAATGTTCTCCCTCCCTTACAGACTTTCCTGGCTGGATAACAGACGGATGGAGGCACAAACAGCTTCCTGCGTGACCAACGTGCCTATGAGGTTGGTCACCTAGAGATGACCTGCCATGGTCCGAGGCACATGGGACACCCTTGCCATGGGGTACAAGATGTTGGGGTGAAGGCCTTGGCAGGATTCCCCCTCCCTGAATCACCAGGGAAGGACCAGCCACCCCTGGGTGTTGCAACACAGACCTACCACTTGTCCCCCAGCATGACCTCCTCAGCCCTGGTCATTTCATAACACCACAGGCTGGCCTTGCCTGACCCAATTAACACATCATTAATTCAAGGTTTGCAAAGCACAGAGTGGCTCTGCCTTACAGCTGCCGGGAGAGCAGCATTCCCACAGCCAGCCTGCAGTGTGGGATCCCCTTCCCGTGGGGATGGCTGCAGGATGCTGCCCCAGGCTGGCTCTTGGGATGGGCCACAGATCCCAAGGATGGCCTAGGGCAGCTGCAAACTCCTCCAGCAAGGCCCCACCCATCCTCCTCTCCTCCAGCATCCCTCAAACCCTTCCTTGCTCACCCATATGCTTTGCTTTGGGGGTGCATTTGGTTCTGGCTCAGCCTCCAGAGCTAAGCACTGAGGTCAGGATGTCCCTGCTCGCTCCTACCTCCATCCCAGAGCTGCCAGCAACCTCCTCCCAGCAACCTGTATCAGCTCAACAACCTTCATCACCTGGGTACCAACTCCTCCCTAACACAGCCCACCTGTGCCCCGAGCCCTTTGAGCCACCAGCAGCCACTGGGAGCCACCAGGAGCCACCATGGCATGGCAGCCCTTCTGCCAAGGCTTTATCTGCCAGCACACGTTCCCTGGGGCCGGGACTTGTGATCTCTAATTGCACACAGGAGAGCTGCTTAAGGTGCAGATTAACGGGGGCTATTTCTGCCACAGTCAGGGGGACACATGAACTGTGACCTTCACGCTACAGGGTGAAAGAGGAGGAGGAGGAGGCAGCCCCAGCTGGACACCCGCTGCCCAGCCATGGCCTGGGGCACCTAATCCTGAACTCTGTGTTTGTGGCTCCTTGTTACACTCCCAGGAAGAGCCCTGTGCCCAGTGCTGCTCTCCTGTGGCTGTAGGGTCTATCCAGCATGGCAAGGGTGGACAGCAGAGTTCATTGTGGATGACTTCAGCTCACCTTAGTCCCAACTGCATGGATTCAGCCTTCCCCAGGTTGGGGAACAGATATTTCCCCTCCCCAAAACAGGGGTGAGGTGAACAGAGACCACATCCCTTCCCACATTCGCACCAAGCTCCAAACCAAGTGCCAGGGAAGGAAGCAGTGTTATAAATAATAGGGAAATGAGAGAGGCCTTCTTCCTTTTTCATGTGTAAGTAATAAATGGCCAAATGTTCCTCTCATCTGCCTCATCCCACCATCCCTGCAGGTCCATGTGGTGCATGAGGCACAGCTCAGCCACTTCCAAAGGGGCATGACACCAGGGACACGGGGCTGGTGAAACATGTGGGGGCCTGGCTTCATTCCTGTCTCCCAGTGGATGGTGCCCTGGAATGTCCTGCCCCACCAGAGAAGGCCCCTGTGTCCGTAGGGTCTGCCCTCCGAAGGGGGCCTGGGTGCAGAAATCTGGCACTGATCCCACATTGCCTTCCCAACTACACCTGTGCCCAGGTGCTGGCAGAGCTCGCCGGGTGCCGGGGCCTCTGGCACTGTGCACGGCAGCCACCTTACATAAACACTCACAGCAGGCACTGCTGATTTCCCAAAGCCCCTCAGAGCTCCAGGGCTTCCTCCCCTGATCCGGATTAGGAGGCGTGGATGGCATTAGTCGAAGACAGGCATCTCCGCGGCCGCGGGAATTACTGACGCGCTGTTAAGTAACGGGAGGGAGCAGCGCCGGCGGGATGGGGCCTCTGGTGGGATGGGGCCTCTGGCAGGATGGGGGTGTCCAGCAGGATGGGGGGCTCCAGCCGCTGTCCCTGCACAAACCCACCACCACTGTGTGTCCCCAAGGCAGGTGCTGGCGAGAGACGCACCTGCTGCCGCATGGCCCAGAGCCGCCAGCCCAAAGTCAAGAGGCTGGCCCGACTTCTTGGTGGCCTGGCCACAGGTTCCTCTCGAGGCTGGGAATCCAGGAGGAAGCCTCAAGGGGCTTTTGGCACATCTGCACTGGTGGCTGGGGCAGGAGGTGGTGGGCGACAGTCCCTTTGCATTGGCTCATGGCTGCACGGATCAGTTTGGGATGCCGAGGGTGGCGGACGGCCAGGAGAGTGGCTTGGCACAGCACTCTATCCTCATCCTTATCCTCCTCCAGCAGGAACCTGCTGCCCCCTCTCCCCCCCAGCAGCCGTGGTGCTGCCAGGCACTTGGGCAGCAGACGGTGGCTGCTGCTCATCTGTAATTAATTGGTGCTAATCAGCCTGTGCAGTTCAATCCGCCGCACG